AACATGCTAATGAACATAGCATCAAAATGACAGGCTTGCTGCAAGCTCTATAAAAACGGATACCTTTTCACCATCAGCAACCAGGTATCACCGGGTGCAGAGTCATTTTCCAGTTTGGCAGCATACAATATACCTGCCTTCTGTCACTTACAACAATGATATAGCCCATCAGTCTTTTATTCCAACAGTATGATGTAATCCAGGAAATCTTAGAAGACCTTTGAAGCAAACCGTTCTTGATGCCAGGTGATAAAACTTAAGAGGAGCATTTTCTCTCAAGCTCTACTTCAGATTTTCATTCATAAGATGCTTTTGTATTCTCCGTATTTACTATACAATGTAATGAGATACAGGGGTCAAATGCACATGCATGCTGCTGCTGCTTTAACAAGCAGGCGTAGCACTGAAGAATGGAAGCTGTCCAAACAATGCTAAGCCATCACCAACCAGGAAATACTTCATATTGACATTAACCCACTAAATAATTACTGATTAAGTTTTTCCATTGCTTTCCTTGCCAGTACATTCTGAAGAGGTGAAGTCAGTCTGCATTCAAAATATTAAACAAAGTTGTATTGACATTTGAAAAAAACAATGAACTTCTTTTTTCCATTATTTCCAATATTCAGCCACACTTTCAAAGACCAAAATACTATATTACTTTTAAAACCCTCACTGTTGATCATTTGTACATTTCCATTATCTTCCTTTCAGTCACAGATATAATTTTGCATCAAGCTGCTTTCCATACTCAACCAGCATGAACAAGCCATTTCCATCATCAAATCAATGAGAAACCATCTAAGATTTGTTACCCAACAGGACAAGGGAAAGTAATGAGGCTGTTGGCTCATAATGAATAGCTATGATAATGCATTTTTGTTGCCCACACAGTACAAGTTGCTCTGCAAGTCTGACTTACTTTATCACACAAAAACACACAAACACACACAGACAAACAGAAATATTTTCTGGAAATTTTCAAGCTTTAACAACCACCATCCCAAGAGTGCAACACTTCTTCACAGGCTTTTCATAAATCAATCAGTTTACATTCAAAAAGCTTATTACAAGGCAATCTCATATCATGATACTTTAGAGAATACTACCCATGACTGCAGAGCAAGTGGATTTCCCCATAATATCTATAAAGTTTAACAAACATCTGTCCAGCTCATCTCACCAATTGCGATAGATGAGAATGCATGCTTACAACAGCAATCCTCTCAACATGTCTAGCATAAATACTAATGCTTGTGGAACCAATACGCAGATTCAAGGGGGGGGGGGGGGGGGGGGCAAGGCTGGCCATTTTTCTGGTAATCTAAACCTGTCAGGGGGTAAACATCCTTGAATGTTATCATGTGTCAAAAGCAGAAAAATTTAAGACTGCTTTCGTAAATCTGAAGGAATTTCAAATTCAAAAATGAACAGATTTAAAGCTGATATTCTGTCTGCTATTTAAGAGTAATGCATATCATTTGGGAAAAACTACTGGTGTAAGGGGCATATCCTTGTGAGTAATAAACAAAAAGTTAAATGGGAAACATGCTATGTTTGAACACCAAAAAAAGGATGAAAATACTGATTTTAATATTAATATTAATGATGTTAATAAATAAAATCCACATACCATTTTCAAGGATGTGTACTAAACCTTCCTAAAACAGTCTAACAACAAAATAAGAAAACCATATCCTACCTGTAACTGTCTTGAAACTATCAATAATTGAAGAACCTATTGAGCTTAACCAGTCTATGCAACAAGAGAACTGTAATTCACCAACAGAACATATAAAAATAAACCTTAGCCCAGTCCCAGACCTTTACTTCTCTAGGACAATCTGTGTCTCTGGTTCAAAGTCACACATTATGGAATGCTGTTCCTCATACCAGACATCAAGCCCTCTGGGATATATTATTTAATAACTCCTTTCAGCTAGACTAGTGCAAATTAAAAGCCCTTTCACATTTTCAGTTCATTGCAGGATGCTAGGCCACCAGCCCAGAGGCAATAGTCTAGTGATGTCTTCTAGTACCTTATTGACAAGAATTCTTCTTTATTTCTTCCTAATTCTTTCAAATAGTGAAGTGGATGTGGTATGACTATTTCATACATAGTTCAAAGCACATGTTCTAGCAATTAAATATCAACTGATAGCACTTAACTTCCAAAACCTGGCCTTTGAAAGTATGCTCTCTGTCTACTGATCACACCAGAGATAAACGAAGCAAAATGAGACTAAGAAGAAGTTGTGGTTCTTATGCCGACTCTTAAAAAAGACCCAAGTGCCTCTGGGGATCTCTCTATTTAAAGTACCACCAACGCAGTATGATTTAACCAAGGAGTCCAGAGGCCAAAACTCACCCACTTCCTATTGCTCTTACCTGTCCACTTCAGGTCACTGTGGTCAGTTTACCTGGCTGGCCACTACATGCCAGGATGTGGGGGCCATGTGATTTACACCAGTTCTGATGAGATATCCCATATCTGTCACCTCATCAGCATAAGTTTGATGATATCTTTTGACTTGGATGAAGTGTGTACTTATTTATAGTCTTTGAAATGAAAACTATGGTGTTTTACAAGCCCAAAGGACACGAAAAACACTCATATGGCACCTAAAAATAATCACAATTGTAGCTCCAAAATCCAAAGAAATGACAAAAGCATAATATTTTGACAATCTCCTGCTCCAAAATGTTATCTATGTGATGCAGTGCATTATGCAAGGATTCCTAAAATTATTCACAGATACAATTCAACAGACACCAGGCTTTTTTTCCTGCAAAACCTTTGTCTTAAAAAGGTTAAAACATACATTTTCCCCTCTGAATTACCAAACAGGATTCATCAGTGTCACCACCTTGCAGAGTATAATTTGGGACCTAGCACAGGATGCAGTATTTATGATTTGCCCTCACAGTGCAAGTCTTGAGGGAAAGTGAAAATCTAAGCATCATCTGCTGATAAGTGCTTCATTCCACTAGTTTAATCTGTTTAGCCCAGCTTACCAATGATATAGCGCAACTATCTCCAATCGTTCCTTTATACACAGATCAGATCATGATAGCTTACTTGCAAAAGGCTTGATAGGATTGAAATATACCAAAAAAGAAACAATTAAACAGCTCACAATTTTCTTTAGATGTGACATACAATTGTCCATCCAATGTCTTCTTTTTGCTATTAAACTTCTTATATGTGCATTTGTGCGTACGCGAGTGCATGCACATGTAAACTTACACTTGGGTAAAATTGGTTCCCAGTTATCTCTTTTCTCTTTACTCGTCATGCAATTACAAATACGTTCAGGTTCTACCTAATCCCATGCCCTTACACTATTTGCATTCTGATAGCTCCTCCACTCATTACTGCAGATGGTACCAGTACATATATAGGTAACAACTAAACAGCCATTCACGTCTCCTAGTGTTCTCAGTATAATTAATGCAAATGTTCACAGAAAAAAATATCAAAAACCAAAGACTACCTGGTGCAATGTACTGATCACTAGTACACACTCCTGTTCTTCTAGTTACATTGGTGTCCTCAGAGTTGCCTGTCTTCTAAACAGGTGACTTAAGATCTAGTGGACTTGCAATCAGGTTATCAGCGTAGTATGACCTTATATAACTACCACTATATATGTATGTATGCTCCAGTGCTTAGTGTCTCACAGATACTGGTTGACTTCCCAGCACAGCACAACACATTACTGACTCATATGAGATACAACATATACTCCCAGCAGTGGAAATGCGGAGACCTGAAGATCGATAACCTTCTCAAACTCCCAAACGCCACCTGTCAGCATTATCACATTTTCATGGATCTGTCACCTGTTACCGGCCCCAGATGCCAGATATGATTTCTTTATAATTTGGTTACCATTGGAAAAAATATTGCTTTTTTCACTGGAGTAATCTGGCATTTACTTCTTTTTTTATTGCATGCAGGTCGTGATGAATTGTGAGCCTGGTGGAGGTTGACAACAGATGCTGCTTTTAAGACTGCTTCTATTCAAACTGGGAACAAGATGGTACTAATGTCAACCTGTGGTCCCACCATGTCATAGTGCTTTTACAAGGTTTTATCTACCTGATTATAATACACAATTCTTTTTTACTACATGTTTTTACTATAAATCTCTGCTCTTTCAAAATAAATCATTCAACAGTTTGATATATCTGCCAAATTATATTTTCACAAATCTAAGTCTCTGAATCAAAATTGCTGCTGACAAGAATAAATCATTTGAATTCTTATTAAAGAAAATTATAGTGGAATTTTTCAGATAGAAAGTCAAAAGTTAAAGCTGTATTTTATTTTATAAAAGGCAAGCATGCAAATTTGTCTTTTCAAGAAACAAACATTACAATGCAAAATATATGATGAGTTCGAGTTACTTATAGTTTTGACTTAATAAAAATGTAGGTATTGTCAAAAGAACATTTCCCAGACTACAGAGTCATGTCCAGTATATGTTATACAGTGGTCAGTTCCTAAGATGTCCAAAAAACTTCCATCAAGGGGTCAATCCACTAGACCTTGCCAACACAGATCATTAGAAACAATAACACATTGTAACAGACCCTGGGAGCCAAAACGTCCAGACATATCTTCTTATGGCTTTTTTTACAACTTTTAAATTGACAAAATTGCTTTTTCTCAATTTTAGACCCATAACTACTCCTTCCTTCACTGTTCATCTTAATTGCCAATAAAATAGTGATGGAAAAAATGCAATAAGAATTAAAAAAAAACACAGCTCAAATTTGAAAAACATTCCATATTGATTTTGGCTAGTTTTTCATAACATATAGTCAACAAAATATCACCAAAAAACACAAAATTTAAGTATCTCATAATTCATTATAGAGCAATCTAATGAAAAACATTTTTAGCAGATACTCACCAAAAAATTTTTTAATGTTTATCATAAAGAGAAAAAATACTACCTAGGAAAAAAAGAGTTCAGCCCACCCACAGCACTCACCTGAGGTGATGGTGTTATTATTGGTGGCAGCCTTGCTGGTGCCCCTGGTACGATTCAAGTTGCTGGGGATCTCCCCATTGAGATGATGTGCCTCCTTTGTCATTGAGCCTTTGCTGGAAGATTTGAATGGTGAGGGTAACCTGAGGAAATGAAAGAAAGAAGGAAGTCAGTTATGATAAATGACGAATAAAAAATATGATTTCCCTGTATAGGGGACAGGTGTCATTAATATTACTGAACCCAGTGGTACAAATGGCCTGTGCATGACTGAATACTAGACAGTGCATGCAATATGGTTTTCTAAAACAACAGGGGGTCATAATCATGTTTGACAACATAATTTCCGTCAAGTTTTGAGACATGCACCTCCATGAAAACTAATGAGAGCACCTGCATGTTCTGACAGGCCACTCTTGTCTGTGAAAAAAGATTTCATGTTTAATAGATATTTAATCTTATTCTTTTTCTTTGTTGCTGTTGTTTTTTATTTGTTTTGTCGCTCGTGACACAGAGTTGTACTCTTTTATTCAATGTCTAGAGAAAGCAACTGACACAACAAACACCATTTAGTTGTTTCAATCCATGGATATCACGAAAATAAATAAAAAAATCAATGATAATTTTACTGAAATATAAGTCGAAATGAAGTTATTTGGACTTCTCAAAAATGATCATCAACTGATTATTAACAGTATCATTTAAATTTGTCCACCAATGCAGCAAATATAAAATCTATCACATTCATACCATTATACAAATTATCAATTTCAATTTTTTAAAAAATTTTGTTTGAAATGTTATGTCAACTCACTGCCAACAATTACATAATTGATATCATAATGGTGCTATTGACATTCAATGCAACATTACACAGTATTAAAATCAAATCTAATGCCATCTCATAGATAACCCCAACACCAGCGAAAACAACCAACAATTCATAAATGTATACCTAACAAAAGAGTTATATTATCATCATCATCATGTAAACCCCCAGGTCCAGGTAGACCTGTCTGTGTGGTATACCAGGTGGTGTATAGGACAAATTAGTCCCGAGGTGTCCAGGTCACCAGAATGGTTGTAAAAGAGCAGAGTTTGATTGCAGGATACATGCAACTCCTGTCAGTAAGACCACACAGATAGGATGAAGACTGGGCTCAGCTCTTATGAATAGAAAATCTTAGGTTAAAGGCACCATGTGGAATAATTGTGGCTTGCATCTGCCTGATATCAAATTAGATGCCCTGTGTTAATATCCCTTTGACAGTAATAATCTACTGCAAGCATCAAAACATGGCAAATAAAATACAGCTAGGCACTTTGGTGAGTGTTCTTCGACATCAGAAAGTATCTCTGGGATAATTGAAATTCACAAACGCCATAAGTACCAGACAAGAAAGCCATGCAAGCCCACTGTTCACTCAGCTTTTCAACGGGAATTTCATTCTCTTTAATCTTTGACTTACAATCCTGCATGTAATTCTTTTATATAGTATGACCTCTTATAAATAAAACTTACTTATTAACTAAATTTCTATTAAAAGAATTTTTAGGTTCATTTGTTGGTTTAATCATAATTGGACATCTAAAACTATTGCCATTAATATTTGTGGCATCAAAAACTTCAATATCTATTATTTCCATTATTCCTTTAATAAAGCAAATTTCACACTTAATATTTTCAATCATCTGATTTTAGACTAATTCAATACAAGATTATTTTGTGGAAAACAGACTTAGAAATCTGAGATAAAGAAATTTCATTTCGTTGTCCAATGAAATGCAGCAGATAAGATGCATCACACCAATGTTTCTTCTCCAAACACATTCATAATCCCACCTACCACAATGGACTGACTAGATAACCTCAGAAAACTGTGAAGACCAGCTAATGCTCTTGAAATAAATTAGTGCTTGCCAAATAACCAAACTGGCACAAATGATTTTGTAGATGCTGTTTATAAAATTTAACTTAACTTTTCATTTGCAAGCAATTTCAAATGCTCATCTAGCTTTAAAGGCCCCAATAATTTTTTTTTATAATATAAGGTATAATATTCATGTTTACACTTCTTTAGAAATTCTCAGTAATATACTAATGTGAACAATGCCATAACTGACCATATGTACCTCCCTATTAAGCTCCCTGCCAGCAACCTGGCCCTAGTAGACTTTCCCTGACCCCAGTAAAACACTCTTGACCTTTCAAAAAGGTGATCCAAGGTATTATAGGTGTCTGGCAGATGTCTAGGAGTACTGCTCTTTTGTAGCTGGCTGCATAGGGTGTAATATCAATAATCATGAACCCAGATCTTAAGAAAAAGTTCAGTGCTTCCTGTCACTGTGGTCAAAGATGGGTCTAAATGCATGGGATACAGAAATTGTACTGGGGAGATGACAGATGTCTGAATGATACGATTTCCTATTGCTGTACTGGGGAAAATCAAGTCTTTCCTGTCTCTTTGGCCAAAGATGAATACCAATATTATTTTGGCTAGCCTTAAAATGAGAACTTGGAAACAGTACAGTTCTCAATGACTTATTGGGCTGTTGTAATGTTTCTGAAACTTCCCATTAATGCCAGAAAATCTAGAAAAGCACAATTAACATCACAAAGAAAGAGAGGGGGGGGAAGGGGCTCACTCAACAGCCTTCTCAGGAAATGACTTACCTTGAAAGCATATCCCCTCCGTTAGCTTGAGCTGCCTTGCCACTGTCTTGTCTTGTTGTTGATGATGTATTTGTGACCACCTGTTGTTGTTGTTGCTGCTGCTGTTGTTGCTTCTGTTGCTGTTTGAAGCGAGATAAACTAAAGAACAGCCCAAGTATTGCCTTTAAGTTGCCATCTTTTATATCTGGAAAAGGTAAGATTAAAAATTACAAAAGACATATGTTTTGTTTTAGCCAAACATCTTACCATCTGAATTTATAAGGGGGAAAACAAATGTCTCAACACCCCATAGATAATTTGTGTAACCATAATATTATCACAAGGCACTTCACCTTAGAGTGATTCTGCAAGATACACATGTTAACTCTTCAAGGAATAAAAAAATCATCAAACATAAATGTATTTTTAATCTTTGCAATGCAGATTCACGAAGTCGTAAATCATATATACAGCATGGAAAATGTCTCCAAATTAAATTAAACATGCTTAAAACAATACCGCAAAATAAACATGGAAATTTTCTTTTTACCTTATTTCTGATTGCATTTAGACCACGTTAAAAAAAGAAAAAAATACAATCAAAATGAAAACTGAAAATCCTGAAATCGGGCATAATCCTGAAAATTTTCACCTATGGATGTGAATTGAGAATGCCACAGATATAAGTAGTTTTCTTTATAATGTTATCAAAAATAAGTAAGAGATAGACCTACAGTGAGACATTCAAATCTATCTGTTTTATATCTGATCACAAGGCTTCGACAGAAGTTAACTGCTCTTATATGTGCACTTTGAACCAACCAATAAGGAAGATCCAGTGTGCTCTAATATTATATGTACATTGTCGCAATAAATGTGTGTTGATGCAATTATGATATATGTTTCTTTAATACCACATGCATTTTATCAGCAGCTTATGCTGCAATACAAGTCATGAAATGTATCTCTTGACTGAAAACTTTTTTTTTTTTTTTTTTGGGGGGGGGGGGGGGGGGCAAAAAGTAAAGAAAAAAATCCCCCATCATATGAAGGACATGAATTACCATCTCCATGGTAATCATTTTCAAAAACACATTCAGTCTTTGTTATAATACAAAAGACCAAACTGTTTCAAATAATGAAATCTGCAAGTGGACCCATAAAACAGTTGCTCAATATTACAGATATCACTGTGTGCGACCTTCCAAGTTACACATAACAGATTTATGAATAGGCTATTAAAACATCTGCACTTACTAGCCGATTTAATGACAAAATAAATCACATTTTAGGGTTCTAATAGTTATTTTTTATTAGGGTAGGGGCTTTCACAAGCATCTGCATGATTTTCATAACAAAACTAAATTTTTGCCATATGTAACTTACACCATCTTTGCTCCTCTCTGAATCAGATTTGCTGTAGTATAACTAACGCCCTTCTTTTATTAAAAACGGATGAAACTTAAGATTTAAGGACAAGGAGCCATTGTTTTTAACCTAAACATAGACAAAATAACCAAGCACAATAATAGGCTATAATAGCTAGCCTGGCTCTCCAGAACTATAAACATGGGACCACACACTGTAACATTATACAGCTGTTTGTTCTTTACCAAACCAATTGTTACAGACAAATGTTTAAGTGTTGTAGCATTTAAATCACCATTAAGACTCAAACATACTTCCTATTTAAGTAAACACTCATGGTAACAACTCAGCAGCATAGTATTTATCAACATTCTATTCCTCATTATTCTAAATACATTTCAATATTGAAACAAGCCTACATTACATGGCACCTCTATACAATTCAACTAGTCAATATTGGGTACCAATATTTTGAGATTATTAGGGAACATCCGTCAAGAAATGTTCTATTTGAAAAGGGCCAGCCATGAACATTCTATTCAGGGGTACTTCTGGTACAGGTTTGGTGTATCACTGGTCAGGACGGGGAGGAAGTCAAAAAAGTCAAATGCAGAAAATAATTTCTAAGCCAGAGAGGGGCAGATGTGGATAGCATTTTTTTTTTTAATTGTGTATAGGACCAAACAAAAGCATTGTTATCTAATAAAACAACTTACCTTTTGCACTCAGTCCTTCTACATTGACGCCAAGATGGGCCAGGAATGTGAGGCAGGTGTTGAGATTCTCTATCTGAAATAGCAAAACCAAGAGTCAGAGCACGTATTGGCTGGACTGCTACCGCAGTGATCCCTACAGAATTCTAACTATATCACGGCTCAGATGCCATTCTACTCGCCACTCGGAACATAAGAGTGAGCTATCTGTCTTTAGTTTTCAATGTTTTCTGGTATGTCTTCTTTTTAGTTATATATTACGATAATAACAAAACATCTGAATATACAAATTTCTTCTTCTCAGAATTTTTCACATCAGAAAGCAAGATCGATACTGTCCATAACTATGAAATAAGTTCATGCTACAAATATGTATAACTGTTCTACTTTCACCTATCAGTACCTGGTATCTTTATCAATGGTTTGCCATCAGAATCACATCAATGCCAGACAGTTTATAGCATTCTATAAACTATATATTGCAATAAAGCATGCTGTTTTCACACAGGCACTAAGATACATAAAAGGGGTATATTCCTAGAGAACCCCTTAAGCTGACTATTAACATAATACTGTGGCTCAATAAAACACATTGCCCCAATACTCATTTCAGTTCAATGTTGTCACAGACACCATATATAATATGATACTAATCCAGCAGGCTCTGTTCCCGGATTCTACCACTGACAGAGAACTAGTATCACAGAGACTCGAATAGTATCCTCTATTTGCCACAAAGGAAAACTATCACAGTTTGTGTCATTATTCCCGAACTTCCTCATTACAAGGTACCAACTCATAACCTGTCACATTTACTATGATCCAGTACAATAAATCACACAGAGTTGATCCAATATGCAGGTGCTATAGACAGCAACATTGCGTCATTGCTGGTAATCCCCCCCATGGTTCTGGATTTTATTATCTCTGCAGTGCACTGATCATTTCTGATGTAAGGAAGATACATAGGGCCATGTTTTTTGTCTATTGGCATACACCTGGAGCTGATTTATATTACATGATAATGCTCAGAAACTTCTCAGAAAAGTTTATAACAAATGGAATTAATCCCACAAATGCAGGGTTTCCCACCAAATGAGTAAAGCCTGTAGGCTTGATATCATAGTGCTATCTAAATTACACAATGCATAACATAAATCTTTTCTGAAAAAAAAAAAGGAATATAAAAAGTGCAAAAACCACTCCAACATTGTTAACATTAAAGGAAGTTTCACAATGGCTTGAAAAGTAATACCAAGCACACAGTGGAATATGTTTGATAATGTTGAAATTCTTACTATGTACCAATGTAAATCCCCCATTCCCTCTCCTCTTACCTGTTGGGAATAAAGTCACACATGGCAACAAACTTGAGGAATAACTGTAAACGCGCCAAGCAATCAAATACTGCCAGTATAAAGACCAGTTATTCAGTTCACTGGGAGAACATATTCTACTTCAATCAAAATCACCGCTTCTTCATTCCTCCCAACAGACTGACAGTAAAAAGAATCAGGTCCTTTAGAAACACCTGACAAAACCCGCGTCCCACCATAGAATACTGCATTACATCACTGCTATTAAACTGACTCAGTCACAAAAATGACACTCCGTTTCAATTTAAGGGAACAATAGCCTAATTCAATCTACAAATATAATACCTTTAACTGCTGGGGTACCCTGTTTGTTTTCTTTTTCTTATTCAAAGTACTTGAAACCTGCATTTTAATATGGTTTAATCTTTGAGGTAACTCTTGAAGGACTTTTCTAACTGTTTCATAGAAGTTATTGAAAATAACTGCTATGTGATCTAAAGTGCATTATTCATGGTGAATATGATCCAATTTTGATAACAATATTCTCCCATTTTTACTCAATAAATCAGTGTAAATCAATTGCAAGCTGACAACATAAACCATGTTTCATGTCCTGATAAGCTTAACCTGACATTAAATTGTAAATAAAAGCATCTTCACAAGTATTGATTTAGCAATATATACAAATATCAATAGTAATATTTCTGCTGCAACTGAAAACATTATTTTTTTTTTTGTCACCAGTAATGTCTTTTCCCAAGTTATTATCAACACCATCTACTGTGCAGCCTCACTGTTACCCCCAAAAGTAACTATGAAATATGTGTAATAAATTGAAACTTCAGGTAATATAAGAAATGCTTACCAATAAATCTAACCATGTTTAATCCCAGTGTTGCCAGATTTATTAAAATTTAATTTAATTTTATATAAATCATATTCACACATATTGTGATTCCTAATTTTGAGCATCTCTAATATGACTAGAACTAAAATGAATATGTTTAACATATATTCAATAATGGATACAGAAATATCAAACAATACAGCCAGAGAATCTATACTCTGCTTACTGATATAGGCTCAAAATGGAAAACATATAAACTAAATGTATGCTGAATTAAGTACCTCACATCTCAGGTGGAGATAGATGTGCAGTCTTTTTATTGTAAAAATATATGTAAAAATATAGCATATTGTTCAACCCTGTAATATTTCCCAATACCAGCAGAATTCAGTTAAAAAAAATCAAAAATAGGCTGCACACTCACACTTACCTGCTTGCATATATCCCATACTGTTCATTCATTGATGGAGTAAAGCATGTTTATATGGCATTAGCACAGTGACAGACTAGATAAATATCTTAACTACACCTAATTATAACTTCGGTGGCTTAAATACCTTGATGTTTCTTATCTCACAACCATCATTTTTCACTCTGGAAACCAGTGTTAAGTACTCTGTCAAACCAAGTCATTTCCAGTAACTCCCTTGCTTAAGTGTGCTGACATAGATATGTCACCAGGTGAACAACGTTGTCAGTCACTGTCCTTTTGCTCAGTCCACAGGTGTAACACAGTCAATGTACGCTTGATTAATGTCTCAATTATCTGCTGTGATGCAGGACAATATGTCCTCTGCCCGCTGTAGGATGTCAATGGTTTCACAGATACAATCTACTGGTATTGGTGATATCAGGGAGAATAGTGTGACCAGCTCGGCACTGGAGAAGGAGACGCTGTCACATATTTTAGCCTTGTTCGCAGATGAAAATCAGAAAAAAGATTGAATACACTTTGACGCCGTGTGCGTATTGATGTCCTCAGGCATTTATTTCATTGACTGACTATAAAGAATTTAGTAGATCCTTTTTAAACTTTTTTCTTTACTTAAATCCTTCTTCTTTCAACTGAATCTTGATGTTGATATTCCCACAAAAGGCTTGAGTCATTCTCTGTCACTCTATAATGTCAGTCTATTCTTCCATACGTCTCCCCAAAGAGATTCTTACAATGATGAGCAGATACCAGGTGAAATCCACAGCACAATAGTCACTCTTCAGATGTATGTTAAGTATTCCCAAACTTAGGTTGTTTCTGACTTTGTTTGATTACTATTCCCAAGATGCTGTTTTAACTTCCAGTACTCAAGGTATTCACACATCAAAAGAAACTTCTTCACTTTGCAAAAACTCTTCTTCACATAATGAAATTTGGTTTCATTCCAGACTTTCATGTGACTCAAACTTCATCTCTATGCCAATCTGAAAGTGTATCTCTCATGAAGAAGTTTCAACTTCTTCTATGCCTTATTTCTTTGATATCATAATACATGCCTCACATCTCAAAAGAACAAACTTTTCAGTCGATCCCTTTGATTCCATCCATGGCATATTTCTACAATGTTTCTTCTTTGTCCCAGTCAGCTGATCATAGTGAACCTCATAATACAGCAGGCATGTATCTTATAAATAATCCACATATCTGAATTGTCTACAGAAGAGAATGGACAAGAAGACAAGTGTTACCCAACTCCCCATCTTCTCTGCCTTCACTTGCTTTGCATTCACTGCTACTGAAGCTTGTAATGTATAAATACAGAGGGGAGCTGATGATTCACGGGTTTTCATACTTGATTAACAGATGCTCTGGTCAATTCTTGGTCAAACATGGCCTCAGGATGACCAGTGCCATTAATCTGAGAATGGATTTCTCAATATTATGTGTAGACTTCCCCCAGAGGATAATCACTCAATGTTTAGAATCAGAATTTGTGGCAGAAGGTTCAAAATGGAGTAAAATACAGCAGCCAATCATCACATATACACCTGTACACATTACTGCACTAAATGTTGTATCCATGCATTTGTTGAAAGCAACCATTTTTTTGTATAAGAAACACTGTACACATACTTTTTTTTACTGACACAGTGTTCATTGTGCCAAAAAAAAAAATGCCATGCACAGTAACAAAAACAAATACAACATGAGTGACGATGAAGATGGAAATTAAACCAATCACTTGTGGTTTGAGTCTCTATTTGATCTTTACAACAATATGGACATTTTTTTTTTTGAAAAATGTGCTACAACTCCATGGCATCAAACTAGCCGTCACCTAATAATGAAACTATTTTCTTTATCAACTCCTATTCTTCATCAATTTTGTTTAAAGCAAAACAAGTACTTACTTGGAAGAAATTACAATGACAAACTTTCCATCATAATTAATGTCTTTAGGCAAAAGTACCATGTTGCCAAAACAAATACTTCTCATAAGAAATCAAAGATCACCAAACAATCTCTTGCCCTTCTTTTCTCAATCCTTCTCCTTGTTTGTAACAACTTCTCCCATCATTATTCCCTGTGGGAATGTCCAGCAGTTCTGAGGAATACTACACTGTCCATTGTCAATTAATGGAGACATCTAATTCAATAGCATTGTTTGTAGAATAATGTCTTCTGTCTAGGGACATAATCGAAAGCTGTCTGGACTGTGTTTATAAAGCCCTGCAGTCTATCAGTCGTTCATCATTAGGCTATTTAGAAACTCATGACATTTTAATCTCTTCAATTCTTTGTGCTAAGACAGCATACCTGATGTATGATGTACCTGACAGAAAAATACTTAATAGCTCCCATCTAAGTTGCTGGGTTTTACTTGAAAAAGTTGTTAGTTTAATAGACTTAGAAGTGTACACCTTAAAAATAAACTGAACTCTCTTTCAGTAAATACAAAACTAGATTAACTAAACCAA